CCCAAGCACACCTTTTATTTTGCTGGCCAGACATTTCCTCCTGAGACTGAAAGAACTTCCTAATGAAAGTTTTATAGTAGATACATTTCTTTAAGTGTTTAGTTTCAATTAATAAATAAGTCAAGTCTGGAAAAGTTTAAATTTTAGATTTAAAAAATGTTTTTAGAAATGCTGAAAAAGGGCAACGTTTAAAAAAACTCCAAAAAATCAGCAAATGTTAGGCACTTTTTACATAAAAAAAATTCTGGTGTTCTGGCTTGAAGTAATTTTATCTTTTTAAATTTATGAGAATTGTCATAAAATATAAAATAGAAACAAACATTTTTAATTCTCAAAAGCAAATGTTTTAATTGAATTTAAATAATCTATTTAATCCCCTCCTCCTCCAGTTTCAGATCCCTGAATATAAAAAAAAAAAAAAGTCCTTGCCTGATTAGGCACTAGAAAACCTTCAATATTTCAAATTTTCACAGGACAAAAAACATTTCCTATCCAACTTCATTCTTGCACAAATACAAAACAACCACATTTTCTATTCCAAATATTACCACCCAGGAACTATTGGAGTTATTTGGCTCAAGATCTGATACTTACTTGAAGCCTATCACTAATTATTATTATTCCCCAAATAAGTTCCAAGTGAAACTGAAAACAAGTTATTCGTTCCCTAAAGCATCTTTCATCACAAGTAGTAAAAGTGTCAGAAATATTTTTTTTGTTTAACAATAGTAATTTTAAGACTACCTAATGAATAAAAGCATCAAAAACTAACACTGTTTCTCTTTAAACAGGTGACGGAGGAAGTTCAGCGGATATTAAAGAGGTGTAGTTATGAGTTTGCATGCCGGGGAAAAGTCAGTGTAAAAGGAAAAGGTGAAATGTTGACCTATTTCCTTGAAGGAAAGGCCAATGGAGACAATTCCCAAACACGGTCATTAAACTTAGAACGGAAAACCTACCACTATGGGAAAGCAAACATTCAAACAAAACTTGGCACCAGTTGTCCTTCGGTGTCTTCAGCAACTAGCTTTACTGTAAAACCTGGGGTTGGAACACTTCAGGCACCAACCACCCACACAAATCAAACACTACATTACCTTCCTTCTGTGCCAGCTGTGAAAGAGGCATAGAACAAGGAAATTTGGTTGTGCCATTTGCAGTAAACTCCGATGAGTAGTGGTTGCCTGAATTTTCACCGGGAAGTCAAAGGTCATTGGCCATGGCATAAACCAAGGATCACTACAACCCAACCAAAGAGAACTTGGGAACTGCATAAATGAACTCTTGGAATGGAACAAATAAGGGCTAGCAACTCTGTTAGGTTAAGTCAAATATTGATTTTCTGGATATAAGGAATATTTTCTTGGTATTTTTAAAGGTGAATGATATAACTACGAAAAGTAAAAGTGGCACTGTATGTGTGTGCATATATATACTTAATCTATATATGCACATATACCAACTATATATATATATATATAAAATATATATATGCTCACACACACGCGCACACACACACGCACACACACACACACAGATAGATATAGATATAAAATATGTATTTATTTACACATCCACCTGCAATGGCATAACAAAAAGGTTTCTCTAGTATTATAGGCAGTGCTATTGGGTGTGAGGTAGTAAAGCTGCTTATAGGAACAGGAAGTCGGGTAGTTGAAAATTATCTGGGGCTATAGCAAGAATTATGGAAACCTTACTCACAGTGCTTGAAATAAGTCGATAAGAGCCAGTAAGACAATTGGTAACTGAAAGCTGGACTAAGCCAACTGCAAAACTGATGCATTTTTTAATGTTTATTTGCATATTCCAGTAGCTTTGAATGGGTTGTTTTAAAATTCCAGTGCAATGGTATGATGAAATCAGAGCTTAGGAGTATGACAGGATACTAACAAGTGTTCTTTCTGTTAAAAGACAAAAAAAAGTAACTAAAATAGTGCATGGAACCTTTGATCCTATGTGAGACAGAGGTGCTATCCTGTGAGCACAGCAATATGCTTATGCAATACAGAAACAGTCTTTCCTGCTTTATGCACACTGCCAATGTTATTGAAGACAGGAACAGTGGAACACTGTTCTTACCATTTTTTCACTAAAAGCATAAATTGTGTTGCTCAGTGCAAGGGATTTGGGTCTGCCTTTTTGAACTGCTCAAAGGGCTGGCCTGTATCAGTTGCAAATATGTTGTTGTTAATATTGTTATATTTGTATGTTTGCCAACATACTTTTTTCCCCTTCTAATTGCATGCCACTATTTTCTGATACCTACACCAAGCTCACTCTTCCTAATTGTAGAGAAAAACACTTTTTTTCAAGACCTGGTTCTGGAAAGCAAGCGTTATGAGACTTTGCTGAGATGAGGAACATTCTTATAACTTACAAGGAGTTTAAGAGTTGATTTTAATTTACAGAAAAGAAAGCACACCTTAGTTGCTCTTAGTTTTAATATAGAGATACAGCCCCCAGCGACTAGGTGCCTCGGTGTGCAATATTTCAGCTTTAGTCAAGCTCATGCGAAATCCACTTCTGTATTAAAAATGAGGCAGCCACAGATCCCACTAGAGAGGGTCCCAAGCCACACACGGTACATGGATTGCTGTCACAACACCATCGGGGAGAAGCAAAAGTTAAACACTCATTGAAGCATTCTGGAATGGAGACAGAAACTTAGGGGAAGTGTTAAAGGTTTTTGGAGGGGGTTTTTAATTTGCTAAAGAACAGAACTGTTGTACTTGATTTGCACCTTTTCTGCTATGTAATGCAGACACTATATTCAGTTATTGTCCCACTGAAGCCATTGGGGGGTTCTGTTAGTGGGAACAGTATTGGGTTTTCAGTGCCATCACTCTCCCACTACAGACTTTTATGTTATTAAAGTAAACTTATCTATCCTCTCGTACCACCCTCATCACAGTAGAATCTGAACATTTAAATGAATGGGAGCCAATCCTTGTAGCTGAAACAATGGCCCATTGTGCATCACTAATTTGTAGTTCTTCACTTGACTAATTTTTGTAGCAATAGCCAGTGTGTCAGCTAAATTTTTTATTATAGAGATTGGAAAATTAGTTGTGTAATTAAGACACCGAGTTGGACTTAAGAAATGTGATTTAGTTCTTGGCTATGCCATGGACTTCCTGTGCAATCTTCCACAAAGCACTTAACTGCTGTGTTTCTCTGTTTGTAATAATGGTCCTCTGTTTCACAAGGGTGGTGTTAGGAAAAGTTCAGTAATATTTGTGTAGTGCTCAAATGCTGTGGTGAGGGTGCCCATCTAAAGAGCTAGGTCATGAAATACACCTTCGCATTTCCCAATTTTTATATTGGAGGAGGGAGGGGAGGAGCTCCAAAAGCCATGATAACCTGGCTACACTACTTACTCTGTATGTTTTATATCATGTGTTACCATCATATATTAAGCTAAACTTTTAAGCAAAATGGAAAATATCATCTATGTGCAATTCCATCAGTTAAAAATTCAGGCAGTTCAAAAGTTATGAGTTAAACTAAGCCCAGGCATAATTTCACTGATATCAAAGTAAAACACTATATCTTTGCATTGATGCTGTTTTAGAATAGTAGTAACACTTCAGAACTGCAATCATAGAACGAGCACCAAGGAACAATCTAAATATAGTATTTCTTAGGCTCTTTTAAATTGTAGGAATTGTAGGGACAGCATTTGAAATTTTGGCACAATGGGGGGGAATAGGAGAGTGAGTGCTTACTTCTCTGCACAGGGGCTGCTCCAGTTGTCATTGCCTCAGCAGTTGCAATGGTGCAGGCTGAGGGCTGCCATTCTGGTGCCCTCTCTAAACTGGTACCCAGGCATGTTCCTACCAACATTTTAGCCACCTCTCAGCGAGCATGATTAGAAGCATTCAGTTATATATTGCTACTGCTTTCCTCCATAATCAAAGGCATGTGACCTCAGCAAGGACACTTTCCATGTAAGCTTCAAGTATTCAGTTGTGTTTGCCATATTCATAGAACACAGCGTGCTTTTTCTGTTCTGGTTTCTGTTTGTTATATAATGAGGAAGTGTGTCCTTTCCTCACAGCTGCATAGTTTAAGAATGCACAGTGGAGAAACATGGAAGATTTCAGCTCTAAAGCAGCTCTAAAGCAAACAGTTTAAAAGCTATGAGCATGTGACAGTGAGATTACAGTAGAAAATGTTTTGCATCAGTTACAACAGGCTGTACTGTTCTACTCACCATACTATCAGTATAAGAAAACTGTGTTTTTGCCTCTCTGCTCTTCCTTCTTATTAACAATTATTTTCCCTATTTACCTTTCTCCAGGTACATTTTTTGTTACTTTGCATATTCTGTCTCTCCCTGCTTTTATTTCCGTAAAACTTTAGCAACCACTATCCAGGGAAAATTACAGTAATAATTGTGTTACATCAACAAATGCAGACTTGCCAAGCTTGAGAAACTGTTCTTTATATTTCTTTGTGGCAGCCATCTGTGGATAATGTTTGGCTTAATCCAAAGCCACTAGAAGTAATTTCAAAGATTCACAATGATTTTAATGGACTTTGGGTCAGGTCCATTATTACTCATTCAGTAATATATATTTGATGCATTTACTGTTTTCCAATTCAAGCTCTGAGGTTTTTCACTGGGTGATCTTGCTGTAGCCCCCACTTCTAGGGGGGTCGATTCTGCCCTTTGTATGTCTGTACCTCCACCTCCTAAGGGAGCTCAGCTAGGAACATGGTGGGCAGAACTGTCTCCTGTGTTTTAATTTTATTCTTGTGTAGCTGTCAGCTTGAAGCAGTTGAACCAGAATGAGTCCTTCACTAAAGAGGTCCCACTTTTGGCAAGAAGGCTTTAATGTCTGTGGGTAGCAAGCACAATATTTCACATCAGTTTGCACGTTTTCTCTTAAGATAATAGTAATAACTGAAGTCTTTCATTCTTTATATAAGCAGATAAGTATCAGAAGTCTTCAGACTTTCTTCTCTCTTGGGACCTAATTCAAGATGTTCCTATGCTACCTTTATCTTTAAACAATTTTTTATTCTAACGTTGAAATTATGAACTGGCATTCAGTTGAACTACTGGCTAGATATTTCCAAACATTTTACACTTGCATTGATTAGAAAGCAATTTTACCCAGCAGGTAAAGTGAATTGTTTCTTTGTAGATATTTTCATCTGTGAGCATTGACGTTACATCGCTGTCACCTGAAACACATGCATATTAGTTAGCTCTGTTTTCTCCAAGTGAGATTTTTGAGAGAGCCTAAAGTTTCAACCCATTAGGTGCAAGCATGTGTTCTTTATGGTTGATTTCCCATTGAAATCAACAAGAGTTTGAGGGGCTATGGGTTCCAGATTCCACTTTTGGTTTAATTTCCAATTAAATACTGGTGTTAGTTTCCAATACCATTACTACAGTTGCTCTCTCTATACAACACAGTAACTGAGAAAAGATTACAGGCCTGAATGTCTTCCCCATTTTTCCATGTAATGTAGTTACAACACAAAGAAAATACTTGGGAAACACTGTTGTCAGAAAACAATATATGCCCTGTGCCATTTCTGTGCTCTTGATATGCGTATATTAACAAGTAGTCAACATGAATCATTTTCATTCATTTGATTATCTGCTTTGTAGCTGAAACAAAACATTAATTCAGTCATCAGCAAGTCCAAATTCTGTATATTTCCTGTCTAAACAGGAGGACTATTTAGCCATAATGTTCTTTCAAGTTAGAGTTTTGTATTGCAGTGAAAAGCAACATTTTTTAATTTGTGATAAAACTGTATTATAATGCCTTATTTATTTTTAATCTTGTACAGTGTTAAAAACATTGGCCTTTCATGTATTATTCACTTTAAAATATGTATTGTATGAAATTTTGTAAATAGTTTTAGCTATGACAGGTTATTGCATGTACACTTGTATAAAAATGCAAAAAGGCACACTTTTAACAAATGTCAATGATTTTTGTAACAGAAGTTTTACATGTGCATGAAGATTATAAACCCTTTGGAAATGGATGTCCTTTCGCTTTTCCTTGCAATCTACTGCATGCCACTCATGCCTGACTTCAGTAAAACAAAACAGTAAGTTTTCCTAAATGTTTTTGACATATCACTTTTGACACAGTTTAATCCACTAGTTGCATGTGCGTTCAGCAAAGCAAAATCAAAATATAAAAAAGCAAAAGAAGAAGCAAATCTATAATCTACTTATCATGGTCTGCCAACCTCAGTGTTTCTGGGCCCATAATGCGATATATGAAATGTGCTATCAACATCTATGCTATCTTTATACGGTACCTTTTGGTCCTTAGAAGCAATAAACTCCACATACTGTAATATAAAAAGTGAATGGATATACTAGGTTATAACAGTATAACATCTGGCATTCAGTGGGTACCGTTTGATGACAC